AAAAAAAGATTAAAATACCAGGACAACTGAAATCAAAGAGTCAAATAATGCACAAATTTGGTAAAAATGAATTGTGGTTTACATGCAACAGTTCCAGTCCCATGCAACTCTAAGTATTTCATGTCAACGTCACCGATGATGAGTTTTCTGTTCCCACAGAAACGACAGTGTTTTACAATATAATATATAAAAATATACTTGGGTCAGTTGTGTTGCAAAACTAATTCTGAGCCATTTCTCTTCTGGTTTGGAGGAAACGAGCCGGGTCGACAAGAACATCACCGTCGTGTTTCGGCATAGCGTGGGGTTTGTTTTGGTAGGAAAAGAACCAAACGGAAAATGAAATGTACAAATCAAAACGCAAAACAAATAAAAGCCAGACTGCTATGACAATTAGCCACGTGAGAAAGAACATCCTAAATCGCCTGAACTAAACATTCCACAAGGAAACCTATTAAAAAAATCTCACTATAAATATATATTCTCAAATGGTATCTTGTTAGGTCAGCGTTAAGGAAATTAGTTTGCAATGAGGGAGCCTCGAGTTTTCAGGAGGCCCGTCTGGGAGTCGCCTTCAAATACAGTTCTACACCAAACCCAGGCTCTTACAAGCTCATCGTCCATTCCTGCTTCAGTATCCAACAATATACATTCTTACCATTTTTAAAAACACTGTAAAACTTTGGGCTTTTACAAAAATAACATGGAACATATTCACACAACCTCTCATTGTTTTTTTAATCTTAAATACAAAAAAGTCTAGCCTGATGTTTTACACAGTTCTGAGGCATCCGTTTCATTGCAAAAATAAAAATAAGAAAATGGATTCATTAAGCTAAATTATTACTCTGGAGGGAGGACAGAGAGAATGCACACATACACATGTCTTTTCAAAAACAGGCATCACTTTCCCATAGGAAGAGAACATTTGATGGGGATTTTAAAATGCTAGTGCATGAACACGTCAACACACAAACACGGCAAATGTTTTCTTGGGAAACTGTGGGTTTAAATGCACGGCAAAAAAAAAAAAGAAAAGCCTCTCCCCCTTCATTTAACAGCATCTGCAGTTGTTGGACAATACTGTTAAAATATTGTTATAGTGTTAAATTAGTACTTGTGAAGTTTACTCCCCTGAAATTTTGGTCATTTGTGTTTGTAGTTTGGGTTTAGAGCAACAAGGGCAAACTCCAAATACTGGGTTAAAAGAAGAAAACTAAATCAAGGGCGCCCTCAACTGGGCAAGGCAGTGACTTGCATACTAAATTGTGCTTTTCTATCGGACTTCATGCCAGAGCAGTAGAGCAACGAGTGTCACGCTACCATGGCTTATCATTGTTTCAGTATTTAAGTAGTCATTTTGACATTCGCACAACAAAAACAGCCTTAAAATAATAACAAGGAAAACTCAAAGACAGAACATCAGCTGGTATCAACTCACTGATACTGTTTTCCGAACTGAAGAGAGAATAACTGTATTATTTCAAAAGCGTCAACACAAATGGAAATAATATTAACATTTTAAATTTAGGGGGCAGTAGTCTCAAAAACTGCAGGCAATGAAAGCGAGCAGTGGATTATTTGATTTATATGTTTTTTTCTTTTCAGAGGAAATACACGGTGATGCCGCGAGGACAGACGTCAAAAAAGGCAACTAGGAAGTTGAGTTAGATGGTGACACTGCACCGAAATGCTGTGTCTCTACAGTAACTGAATCCTTTAGAGAAAACCCTCAGGGCTCTAATTTCCCACGAACAGAGGTGGCAGTGTCTGCAGAGATGAACACAGGACAACCGTCAGGCCACTTCCAAAAACAGCAAAACATACGGTGTCGACGGACATCAGGAAAGTGCTTGACTTTGTGCAAAAAAAGACAGATCAGGTTTTGGCGGGACAAATGCCAGGAGTCAGGAAAAACCGCCTTCAGTAGAAGTTTAAAATTTGCAGTGGGCGACCAAACCAGCGAGGAGGAAGGTTGTCCCCTCTGTGGATGTTGCGTCGACCTTTTGTGTGATGGTGGGATGTTAGAAAGCAGCAGAGCGTCGAGGGTTTGTCGTGACGTTCAGAACCAGAATTTGTCAGTGCAAAGAGAATTATTAGTTTTGAGCATCAACAGCCAACAAATGCGAGAAAGCAATTTGTTGGAGACGATTACAACCGCAGACGTTTTTTTTTTACTTTGATGCAGCTTTATGTCACCGGTTTAAATAAAATTGTATTGCATGGCATTTTAAACAAACCTTATTTGAAATGCTATATATTCACACGTGTCTCCAAAATCTGCTGTGCTGGATGTGACATTTTGACTTTGTAGTGTGTTGTCACGATGATCAGACGCCTCAACAACGTCCATCGTTATACAGAAACAGAAAAACCCCCAATGAAGAAAAATTCCAACCAACATGTGAAATCCTCTGAATCAGGCTCTGGGAACAGCTTCTTACTATCGAGCTACGTTGCTTTAGTCTTCTTGTTCTACAATGCCTGGTCAGTAATGTGACCGACTGCTGACATCTTCAAAATCCAATGTTTAGATATATGATTGGACAAAATGTATATTTTGTTTTTAGCCAGAGAGATACTGCTAACAACGCAGGACAGGTTGTGTAGGACGCACGAACATTTATGTGTTTGCAATCTGGAACATTAGCACCACAGCAGCCTACAGAGCGCTTAATGATTAGCATTGCACGCTAGTTGCAATTTGCATTATGCAAATGGTGACCGAACGAAAAAAAAGGATTAATTCTGCTGTTTCCCGAGGTACGTGTGATGCAAGCATCTAGTAACAGTAGTGTAAGATGAAATCACTGATATCACCCTCAGAGGATGTGACTTCAAAATGCTCAAACGTCCCTTAATTCACCGACCCAAACATTATCTCAGACCACAGCTGGAGAGGAGACACTCGTGCCTTTTGTTTGTGCTTGCATCGCTGTTTGTGTAGTGTGAGTCTGACTTGGTGTGTATGTGTGCATGCACTGAGTGTTGATAAGTGTTATGTATTGCCTGCAATATACATTCTCTCCACAAGGAGGAGACAATAGCAAGGCGTTAAAATCTGATACAGGAGGAGAGCCTGCAACTCACACACACACAAACACACACACACACACACACACACACTCTCACACACTCACTCGCACACTCACACACACACAAACACACACGCGACCACCTGCATAAGAGCCACAGAAAAATGTAACAGAAGTGCAGTTAGTTTGTCCTATGGTCTAATACCATCTCCCCTGCTGTCAGAAACAACCCTGCTTATTCTGTAATCGACTCTCCGTCACGCTCTGACGTGGAGGTGACACAGCTAAGAAAAGGAGGGAGCTGTTTGACGTCCTCTTGTCCGCACGGAGGCTGATCCGCCCCCAGCCGCCACTTAAACTGAAAAGGCCACTCAACGAATTCAAGCCACAGCGAGGTCCGCTCAGAACCTGTGGATGGTTGGTTCTGGCTCCCTCTTCTTCAGCTCCTCCCGGTAGCAGTAGGAGCAGTAGTTGCCCGTCTCCGGGTGTCCGTAGTAGGTGCAGCTGGGAGTCCGACAGCGGCTGGACGGCAGGCTGGCCAAACCACCGGCGCTGCCCAGCGAGTAGTGTCTGACTGGTGGTTGCCCACTCCGAGAGTCTAGGTTGGGGTGCATATCCCGGAAGCCGTTGGTGTAGCTCCCGGCAGCAGCAGGTTCAGACACAGGATAATCTGGTGGAACGAACTCTGGGGGGTATGAGGGCGCAAGGCGGGAGGGACTGAGGGAGGAGGGGCCTTGTGGGATATTGTACTGAGGGTGTGAGGGTCCCTGTGTTGTGGGGCAGTGTCGCGGAAGCGTGGCATACGCTGGGAGGCCGGGATAGGAGGTTACTGGGGAGCCACCAGCAAGCTGCCGCCGATTTTCCATGTAGCCATGCATGTGAAGATGCTGGGTGAGGGGAGCCGCAGCAGGAGTCTGATCTATGAAGGAGGGCCGGGGGATGGGAATGACCCCAGAGTACATAGAGGGGCTCAAAGGAGAGGATTTGAGAGGGTTGAAGGAAGGTGACGAGTTCTCTGACAGAACCTCTTTGGCCTCATAAGGCCGATAACTCAGCTCCGTACCACCAACCACCTCCTTCTTAGATGGCTGGACGCCATTAGTGACTACTTTCCTCTCTACATCACGACGCTGTTGCTCCTGCTCCGCCCGGAAGCGCTCCTCTGCGTCGGCCAAGTAGCGCTGGATCATCTCCTCCTGGAAGGGCTGCCTGTTGCTCGTAGTGAGGAGGCTGGCGAAGATGAACTTTCTCTCACCCTGCATGGCGGCTCGTAGGATGCCGATGCTAACCTTCACATCTGCACTGTACTTGTAGGTCTCGTTCTCGATACTGCTCCCACCACTGCTGCTCATACTGCTTCCTGTTCCATTCAGACGCTCGCTACCTGAGGAGGGGGAGCCTTTCCCAGAATCCTCTGAGGCATGGGCTGAAGGCGAGCTATCCTTGCTGCCCTTCCTCCCCCTAAACGAGCCCTTTTTCTTCTCCCCGCCCTCCTGCTTGGCACCTCCAGCCCCAGCGTTCTTTCCCGTCATCAGTCCGCCCACGTTCTTTTTCAGCTTGCTGCCCAGGCTCTTGCCAAAACTGCCGAGCTTATTGGCCACAGAGTCTGCCCTCTTCTTGTCTTTATCCTTGTCCTTCTTGGTTTTGTCCTTCCCTGCTGTTCCTGTCCCTGCCGAACCACTGCTAGAGGAACTAGATGAGGACGAGGAGCTGTTTTTGGCCAAGGATCCGCCTCCATAGGCCGTTGATCCTGTGGTTGTGTCACAGTTGCCATTGGAGCTGCTGCTGACTGACTCCTTGTCCGACTCGCCTGAGTCAGGAGGCGTGCGTGTATCCTCTCCTGCCGATGCAGTGGGAGACTCGGGCTGTGCCAGAGGCGCTTGCTGCAGAGAAACAAAGCAGAAGCACAAGCTGGAAAAATACTGTAGATGTGTATGATATCACCTCCAACCCACTGACAACTAAAAATATTTAAAATTTACAAGAAATCACTTTTAGTTCAGTGTCAGTGTCCTGCATCACATTCACTACAGTCCAGGCTCATGCCTCTCAGGTGTGGGGAAGAAAAAAATCAAGACATAGCAGTTTTTCAAAGAGTGATTCATAGAGTTGTTTTTTTTTTTGCAGACCAGTGCAGAAAAAGTCAAGTGACTGTTTCTAGAGGCATTTCTCATATTTACTGACGTGCTAAAGAAGCTGTAAAGAATAACAAAGAAAGCCGTGCAGCTCCGAACAAGCAGCAGTTACGGAACTGCCAAAATCTCTGCAGCTCAGCCATGAAAATGCTATAAACTTGTCCTGCCGAGCTGCCTGGTGTTAGCATGTAGCACACAAGGGGACCTTTGTCATTTGTGTGGCGTGACGTTTTGACCTGGAAGGTCCACCAAATTGTGTTTTCACAAATGGTTTGTGCAGCAGTCAGCTGCTCTCATGTGTAAGGGAAACAAAAAATCTTGCCCTGGTTTATAATGAGTGTGGAAAATTAACACTAATCACAAGCGGCTGTAACACTTGAAGTCAACAAACTACCTTGGCAACAATGTGATTATCACATTACAAGGTGTTTTTTTTTTTTTTTGGTCCAAAACTGGATTTGGCTGGTAAAACACTGAATGAGTCTTTGGAACACTCTGCTGGCTTCATGGTTATTTGAAAAATAATTCACTTTTCTTTTTTTTACAGAATGTCTAATAACTCATATGATTCAATCTGTTTACAGAGCAGGTTTGTATAGAGCTCTCCGCTACAGAGGAGCAAACATCGCCGGGAATGAATGTGTGGACTTGGATCTTTACCTCGCAGGGCAGAGGCAGCCAGGTGACCGTCATGTAGCTGTGCAACATCTGGAGCTTGGCCTCCAGAGACAGAGCCACACTGGAAGGAGAAGTGACAGTGAGTGGGAGAGAACGAGAGACAAAGAGACGAAGAGCATCACAGAAAAACGAGGTTGTTGTTGATGATGATAATGTGTAAATTACAATAACGATGTCAGTTCTGCGTGAGTTTGGCACGACCCTCGTCCTCACAAGAACACTATTAGACAATAGTATTTCTTACCTGACATGTCTATGGCCAAAGCAAGGGGAGAAAACCTCACACACATGTTTGGAAACTTAGCAACTGTGAGCAGAGTCAGATGTCTGCACGAGACGAGGAAATTGTGGTGGAAAAGGGTCACAGAAAATCTGTGATTTCGAAATGGTTTCTATTTATAAAACTGGCTAAACTGCCGATAGGACAGGAAACACACCAAATGTTTTCCACCATTTGAAAAAATATCATCCCACAGAATGTGCAGAGACCCAAAGTCTGCAAACTCTGCCACACTGCTAACACTACACAAACAAGACACTTGTGGAAATGCTCCTTCAGACCAAGAGAGAGGGGCAGTGACATCACCCTTCGGTTGGTGCCCATATTTGGAGGACCGAGGGGGTGGAGCCTGACTTGAGAGCTTGAGGACACTGCACGCCCACCTACACCACCATAATTTACTCAATGAACATGATGCGCTAATGAAGAAGACTTGAAACTAGAGATGAAGATCATAAACTCCTCGGGAAAATCATATTCTCATTTTCTTTTATAGAAACAAACTTGCAACCAGTGCAATCGCCATCGGCTTCAATTTCCGCCAAGGTTGGGAGATGGCTGACAAACATCACAGTGTTGAGGCTGTGTTTCTGTTTTCCATCACCATTCTGGATGGTGATAGTTCAGTTTGTTAAATTGATACACATGTAATGCAGGTCTTTAATAACAAAACTGCATGTTATGTTTCCACACTGGTGGTATTTTGGCTCTGAATGATGCTGCAAATGGCAAAAGCCTCTCGCTGCTGTTATGACATCTTGTTCTGCAATAAATAGCCTTTTAACTCAATGACCTTTTCCAAACAATGTTAACAGCCTCTCGTGTAATATCATCTCCGACCAACATTTCATCTAAATGAGATATCCGCAGTGTCACCAGCTGACGAAACAAGGTTTTTCTTACCGAGCGGCTATTCTGGTGCTCCTTCTCCTGCTCCATTCATAGAAGGTATTTAGAGCTAATCTTATTGTCGCTGGCAGTGAGTGTGGCTAATCTGGAGTCAGGGGTCAATCCCTACACACTGACACACTGCTGTCTGTAACAGTGTACACATGCAAGTGTCCCTCTCTTTTTCACTTGTATCCTTTAATATATATATTAAAGTAATTTTGTGGAAAGCACTGAATGCAGAAATTATACCTGATGAAAATAATGTGATTGGATGACGTCCTCTTTTGAAAGACCATACCTTGCTAGCATCACATTGTCTGAGTCATCCTTGCCCCACTCCCAGTCTTTCCCAGGATCCACAGCAAAGTGCAGAGGCAGCATTTTGTGCTCCGAGTCCGTGAGAGGGATCACGACTGCGGGTAGAGATGGGGGGAGGAAGATAAATTTCTTTTTATTCAGCACCCTGGATTGTCTACAGACAGAAGTGCTTGTACATTTCCCACTCTCTGCAGCCTATATGAACTCAATGTCCGAGCAGCAGCTTGAATTTTAAGAATAATCTTGCAAATTGTGCAGCAGTCAGTGTTCCTTTAAAATGTCACTCACTTTATCAGGTGAAAAACACAATTAAACAATAACCATCTTTAAATCGAATTAAGCGAAGTTGAGAATGAATTAAATATCACAAATACAAAAATCTAGAATTACAGAGAATAGAATCACAGAATGGAATGTTTGTTTAAGTTCAATGCTTACAGGTTGGCTGGGGCTTTATTTCTAAATCTTTGAAAAAAAAAAAAGTCTGCATGGTTTATTAGTTTAGTTTGGTTGTTGAGGCTGCTACTATGGTTTCTTTCTCTTTTGTACTCTTTCCTCTTCTAAATAAGGCTGGGCACGTAATGTGCATTACACGATCATAAAAATCAATCAATGAATCAATCATTATCAAAATATAATTTCACGTGAACACTAGCAGGTGGTTGTTTGCTCACTTGCTTCCTTGCTCTTGAGCTACAGAGGTCACTGGATACACTCCAGAGCCCAAGGGCCATTAGTCACTATTCTCAAATAAACTAAGAAAGGTCAATATTAAAAAACGTCTAAAGTGGTAAATGAGAAAAGAAGCATGTAGTGATTAATACAGACCTTTGGCTATAAACCCTCTGAATTATTAAAGAATTTAATGTAAAAATATGATTGCACTTTATTGACGTCTTTAAATATCAGCTGCGCACTAAAAGGCTGTTAAATAGAATGATGATGCCAACCGTTACCTTGCTCTTTGGAGCTGTGCTTCTGCTCCATCGAGACCAGCGCTGAAAAGTGCGCCTGGTCATACGCCAGGACCAGCGGCGAGCGATGGCACTTAGCAGCTGGCACCTCCAGCGGTAGGTATATGCCTCCGAACGGGATGGGAGCAAAGGCTGGGGAAGAACAACAAGGACATTAACCAGCTGAGAAACACAACTCAAGCTTGGTTTACAGCGGGATAGGGTCTTGAGAGTGTTGACAAAAGCAAAGCAAATTAAAAGCTGTGACAACAATCAAACTATTGCTTTAGTTTCCTCGCAGGAGAGCAGGATGTGGCAGAGGTTAGAGTTGTAACGGGCTGAGAGGGGGTTGGCTCCGGTTTGGAACAGGTCAGTGGGGCTCGGTTACATGTGCTCTCTGCTGCGTGGCACTTTTGCATTAGTCTAGATTGTAAACGCACATTAGAGGGTCGGTAACAGACAGACACGACCGGTAAGAACTTTATGGATTGTTCTATGGTCCACTGGTTGACCTGATTGTCCTGATACGCCCGGAGCTGGTCCTGATTCTGACCTCCCAGCTAGCGGGCCCCCTCCTACCTGACCCATAATCTTATCTGCACCAGATGCACCAGACCCATTCATACTGGCTCTCCCAGATTTCTTTTTTTATTAATTTTCAAAAAGGACATACGACCTACACCGTGACTTTAATACTTGACGGATATTATTACGAATCACGGTTGATTTTGTCGATCTTTTCCAGGCTGTGGTTTGTAAACACTGCTGCCAGTTTGCGTTTAATAAGTGTAATAGTTGTATTTCACAGTGCTGCACGTGGCGGGCTCTGCACTGCCGGGTGAGGTTAGCGAGACCGACAGAGAGAGATGCACTGCAAGCTAGCGCGTCATTTCAAGTGTCACCTGCTGACGTCAGACATGGAGAGGAGAGAACAAGGTTATCTGATTGTTGTTCCAGTGTTTTTTTCGGCTTCATCCTCCCATTGAAGCCCTTGTGTAGTGAGGAAATACGTGCCCCTGAGGTTTAGGTATATTTCATGTATTAAAGGTTGAGGCAGCTGAGGAAACGCCGGACACATCCCGCCGCTGAACTCAATGTGTCACAACAACTTGCGTATCTTTTTTACTAATTGACAGACATAATGACGGACAACTACAATCCCTGAGTACATGGCTTTTTGTGAGTAAAATGTTTGCGTGCATGCACAGAAATGGGTCAGTGTTTGGTAGTAGCTCTCACTACTTCAATAAATCAAACTCGATCATTGACAGATCCGTCTTTCACGTCACGTCACACAACATGCATTAGTGATGCAAGGCTGGAATATTTACCCTCTCCTCCAGAGTCCCTCAGCATGGTGTCAGCCACCACCACTATGGGTCGTCTGAGAACATGAGCCAGCACAAAGACGTGAAACTCCTCTAAACTCTCATAAACCGGTTCATCCGAAGACTCCGCCCTGAGGACAACAGCAACATAGCTTCTGGTTTACACACACACAGTGGTTTAGTTAAGTTAAGTTAATGTAAAGCAAATCTTTTTTAAGGAACTTGCAAAAACAAAAGAACAATATTGAGACTTGGCTGAATTTAAAGTGGCTTTGAGAATAAAAGTGACAAAACATTTTTTAAAAAATCATTATTTATAATACAGTAAATTCCAGATGAACTTAAATGAGGACCAGCCGCTCAGTTCTGATTGTGAGCGCAGTTGTTTGTTCATGAATAAAAACATGAGTGTGACCAAGTATGCGGTGGGTTAACAGTCTCTGCTTTGTCTGAACCAGCCTTTACCCGTTGGTGCCGTTGGTGCTGTAGTGTATTCTCGGCTCACTGGAGGCTAACTTCAACAGTTCATTCCACTCCTTCTGCCACTCCTCCTCCGTGTACACCAGACCAGACTGAGGAGAAAGGAAACACACGCGCAAACACACATTTAGAGAGCGAGTGTCGAATGTCACAAAAGCGTGCGGTGCGTTATGGCATCTTACCACAAGGTTACACGCTGACAATTGAGAGAAGAGATTAAACCATCAACATCCTCATTTTAACCACCATATATGGAGAAGAAGAAAACCTTTTTTTTTTTTTTCCCCTTCTCACACATTCACACAAAGAAAGCTTCCCAGTGCAGCCGCAGTCATCTGCCGCTGCCCACAGAGCCGCTCCTCTGGAACAGTTTTGGTTTAAGTGATTTTCTTAAGGACACCTCAGAGATACAGTAGTTGTTGACGAATGGCTGAACATGAGGCAGTCATGCGTGTGGCTCGTCCTCTGTGGGCGTCTGTACACTGTGTGCAGGCACTATGGAAAACAAACTTAACCTCTGCTCACACCTCTTATGTGTCTTGTGTGATCTGATCACAAGTGTTCAGACTTGGTATTAAAATACATGTTATCGGATCTCAGTTACATTCAGGCAATGCACTTCCTGTGCTGGTCTGCCAGAAAATCAAATAAATAAATCAAAACAATACAAACTGTCTTGGTGTGATCAAAACCAAATCAAATTCCTGAGTGGGTGTCAGTTGAGAATGTGGACGTGTGCCGCCCAGACCAGGTTATCGGAATACGGACTGAGGGATCAGACAAATATGTCCACAACTGTACTTAGATCAGATCACCTGAGACGCATGTCAACCAGATGTGAACAAGGCCTTAGTTTGTGATGCTTGATCATTGTGTCCTGTAAACAGCCTCTAAGAAGGACAGAGGAAACAAAACAAAAATGTCTTCCTATAGCTTAAATACCAGAAAACAAAAAGCTCCAAATGTTATACTGCTACAGAAAAGCAGTATAATGTAAGTGATGGCATAGGACTGTTGTGCCATATCAGTGTTTTGTCTCTTGTGTTGTTTCCTCTTGTCTCTATGTTTTAAAAGGAACTGGAAACATACAAAGGCTATTTGTTCAATCTCCCAGAGTATTTTTTTTTTAGTGTGGTCAAGGACACCCAACAAGCAGCGTTCTGATCAAACGCTCACAACATTCTCTCGGCTCTGGACCCTTTGCTTTGGCCCCACACAGTCGGCACAGAGCTACAAAGATGACCCAGAGAAAAGTGCAGCCTACAAAACAGACCTCTTTGTTCTGTTGGGTCTGCTGCCACCTCCACCTGCGCTTCAGTGCGTCTCTCTCCAACCCGTGATCCATCAGCGCGTAGAGCGACTTACGCAGCATCAAGTCCCGGTCATGAAAGCCCCACATGCCTGTATTACAAAACAAAATGATAAAAATTTAACAAAACATCTGCAAACTCCTGAGGACAACTGCACTTAAAATGCATTGTTGTGCTGCTGACATGTTTGGAAGAAAAAAGAATTGTGTTTGCCTCTTGAAAGATCAAAATAAATGTAATATTTATTAACCAGTAAATGAAATTGGAGCTGAATTAGTTACTATTTTGGGCTTTCAATACTTTAAAACATAAAATATTATGTTCACATCTACCATCCAGTAGACGCACTGTAAGATATGGAACAATGCCTGCACATTAGTTGAAGCATTATTAATTTTCTGGACTAGGGCTCCTAAGTGGGCCACAAAGGCTAAGTGAGTGTGCAGTGTAACATTGTAAAACACAATTAGTGCTTCAGCTAACAATGCTGCTCTCTTAATGAACGTTAATAGAGTGTGAAACCTGCACAGTACTGGGGTCTGGTTTGAAAGGTCTGTTAGACTCACCAAGCGAGGCTGCGTGTAACAGGCAATTTCCATCTCCGCTCGTTGCCAGCGGCAGCAGATTCTGACAGTTTGAAACTACTTTTGTCCACCAATTCAGTCGACCTGCAGGCAAACAGCAAAAAACTTGACTCATCTGTTTGAATTACAAATACGGCGCAGTTCTAAAGGGCAAAGGTTTTAATCATTTACAAAAAAACTGTTGGTATAAGAGCTAAACTGGAACAATATTTATTCTATATTTTTGTGCCTGTGTTCAGTTTCTCTCACCTGCATGCTCCAAGGCCACCATCATGGACTGCTCTATAAGATCCCTCTCGATGAAACCACGGAAGTCGTCCTGGTACACGGTGAGGTCTGGTAGTTGGAAAGTGCACAGGGGCGTGTCCAGAAGTGGCTCATTGCTGCTACCGCCGGTGCTGGAGACGTGAGAACGGGCAAGGGACACGATGGTTGAACTGGCGTGAGAAATCCCCCTGGACAGGCGCTTCTCTGTGGCTGTAAAAAACACAGGAGCAAAGGATGAGGAGGAAAATCTTCGCCAACGAGCTGAAATTATGTTCCTTTCCCGGAGCTTTTCCTGCCAGCCCCCGTAGAAAAATGCCCAGAAAATGTCACGGGGAGCCCACGTGGGAAAACAGCAGAATGTCCCGAAAATTCACGGCAAGTGTGTGGACATGAAACTGGAAAAATACAAATATCTCAGGATGAGAAAGAGCTGACATAAAGTAAAATTTAGCAACTGCTTTTCTGCCCTGAAATAGATTAGTCACGTCCTGTCTCCTGCACGCCTGCATGTTCTGTAAATGTTCCCCTTACTGTGAACGAGTCGGACACGGCACTGAGTTACAGAGTACATGTCCGTGTTAAACTCTGTTATGAAAGATAAAAACCTCTCACTTCCCCGTGGCCTCACCTTGCACCACCTCGTCTTGTCGGTGGAGCATTGGCCGCCCTATTCTCGCCATCTCCTTTTCCAGAGGCAGATACGTTCTCTCCTCTGCGAAAGAATACGTCAGGTTCCCAGCATGCACCTGTCGAAGCTGCTCGAAGTCACTGAGTGCAGCAGTGAAATCCCAGTTCTTGCCTACGGAGAAAGAGAAAAAGAGAGAGAGAGAGAGAGAGAGAGAGAGAGAGGGGGGGGGATTGAGCAAACAGGTCCAGTGTGACAACCTGAATCTTGTTTCCATTTCATCCTTAATGAGTTTAAAGATTCACCACGAGCTGATGCAACCATAGGCTGCCTTGTCTTACGTAAAGGTCACCAGCACATTCCTTTGCTTGGACAAACATAAAAATTTTGAAGCACGTCTTCACGGTTCGCTGCTGTTCACTGTCTTGCGTTGAATTTTTAACCTATATTCTTATCTGCAACTTGTGTTGCTGCTAGGCAACAGGAGCCCATTGACTCCAGCTATACCTTCTTTCTGTTAGTGTATGATAACCTAATCACCAGTGACAAGGCAGAGGCACTGTCTGAGACAGGGACCACGACCACTCAGGCCCTCCCCCTGATTTGAAATGTCTCCCCTTGCTCTGATAAAGAATGATTAAATGTTTATCTCTTCAGTGGACAATAGAGTGTTTTATTAAGCCACAGGTCCCAGCAAGGCCAGTGGCTTAATAATAAAATACTCTGCAACTCACCCTCTAGCAAATCTCTGGCCAATCCCGGTTCAGCTCCAGTGGAACGGACAAAGTCGGATAGGACTGCGTCCATATCCACGGTCATGTGATCATGAATTCACAAGTGGGAGGGTTGCTTCCGGGCAGAAAAAGAAGAAAAACAAACCGAGGACACTGCTCTCCCCCTAAAAGGGCGCCAGGGGAGAGGGTGAGGGGGAGAGATCCTCTACCTCGAGCTGCTCTACCAGCCACACCTGAAACGAGAGGACAGAGATAGGAAGATTAAGAATTCAGGAATTAACTCCTCAGAAGTTAAACATTGTCCAGAAAGATTAGCAAAAGCTTACATGGGATAGAAAGTAGTGTTGCTGCTTGAATGTTTACAACAGTGAATGAGAAGCACATTGATATAATGACCCGTCTTAATCCCTTTTCAAACACGGCCTGGTTGCTTTTGAACTTGACACCTTTGCAGTCACTTGACCCACCCATGACAACAGCCGAGGCAAACAAGGGACTTCACAAAAGCTTACATTTGCAATGAAACTGAATAAAAGTCAAATGACAACATAGCATAAGGGCGGTTTCAGACTGCATCCTGTTTCTGCAGAACCTTGTTATGAATTCAGAAAAAAACCAACAATGATTTTGCGATTTGTGATCGTTTGAAAATCTGCATTGGAGACACGGGACGGCTTCGATCCCGTCTTCAGACATGACTTGTGAACACAGGAATTTCCCTGACACAGTGACAGATCGTGAAGAGTCTGAGCAGAGACCATGACAAGTGTTCAGCACACAGCCAAAACAAAATCTGCTTGTCCTCCAAACCAATTAGAGACAATCAGATCAGCATACTGATATTAAAAGCCAATATTTTCCTGTCTTCATGGTAAAATCTATATTTTCATGACAGGGGAGAAAATGGGCCTCATATAAATCCTCTGTATATATACACAGTATATATAAAGTCAGATTCATTTGAACGGCATGATACGAGGAAACAGTATGTCTTAAAGAAGTCCCTCTGAAAACAATTAGGCAATTTTACTTTTCGATTTTCCGAAACAAATCCAAAGGACCTGCATCAGTCGGACACCAAAAATCAATCCAGAAACATTATTAAGAGTGAGAGAGAGGAAGAAAACCTGTCAGTATCAATGGGGCCTTTGACACAAAGCATGTAGATGGAAATCAATGCCAGACTAAAGGACTGAATCGAAGTAGCACCGGCTCAAAAGATGTTGTTTGGGGAACTAAAGCTAAAAGCCTTTATTTTACCAGTAAAGATGTTCTGAGCGAACACACACATCAGCAGTTCTCTGGACCACATCTCCGCAGTTACAAGCCCTGTTCTCTAATATCTGTCCATCTAGAGCACTCTGCTGTTAGTTAGTATACCACAAATTAGACTGATATGGGTTTCTGGTGCTGATATCAGGGAGTAAAGAACATATATATATATATATATATATATATATATATATATATATATATGTATTTGCTCTGCTCATATCAGAGATGTACTGGTCTCCAAGTTGTACCCATGATTATTAATCACTAGCACAGTCCTAGGCAGAGTACTTCCTCATAACATATGATTTAAATAGTAGTAGTACACAAAAATAATGACAGTTCTTTGCATATTTATAAAATTACTGTGCCTGACTATAAAACTATCCTGTCACTATGCTTCCTTGAAGTTCACAAACTGCCTAATCCAGTTTTGACTGACCTTTCATTTTTATATATTTTTGTAAATCTACCTACAGTCATCTATTCCCATCCGTCCCCTGGCTCATCCACCACCCAATGTTCCTGCCTCATCTCTGACTCAGTGAACTCTATTCCACTGTGGCTGATGAGTCACGAGTTTACTCTTCTTACACCTCTCTCTCTCTCTCTCCATCGTTCCCTCGCTTCACGCTCTCCCTGCCTCCCTCAGATTCTCCATCATTATTAAAAGCCGGGCAGGCAGGCAGGCACGCAGAGGAGGAACAGACTTCAGCACAAAAGGCCTTTCTAAGCCAGCGGAGTATTTCGAGAGTCTTCTCTGCAAAGTCAGGCATTCAGCAGTCTCCCCCTGCAGGGTCTCTTCATTTTCTTGCAGTCTGTCAATTCCGTTGCGCTCGGGTTCATCGATCACAACATGCGTACAACTTAAGAGATGTGAGACGGAGGACGGTTAATCATTTAAAACCACAGGGCATCTAAACAGACTTACACTGGGTTCTGACCGACAATAATACTCAAACAAAAAAGAAAAGAAAGAAAGAAAGAACAAAGAAGCCCCAGGGGCTGTGATGGAGTGAGAATGTTGCTATACAGGCATTAACGTGTGACACCAGACTCATATGAAGTGATGCCACCATGAAACACGTATGACAGTAAGTTTCCAGAGCTGTCGACTCTATGTCCAACAAAAAACAACCCAAAGAACAAAAAAAGAAAAACATCAGAGTCTAAAGTTTTAAAATAACAAAAAAAAAGTGTAATCAATACAAAAGTTTCATTATTGATGGTTTTCAATAGGCTAGCAGAAATATCAACGCTGGAAAATCAATGCATACCAACCTGCATTAATAATTATTGGGGTTCAGCCAGAACTCCGTTGATTCCGATGAGGGCATAAGCCTCTGCCCTGGACCTTTAAGGCTCTATGTATAGTCTTTAATTAGTTTACTTTACTGCAACTCTTAAAGCTAATTCAATGGTTTAGTGAGTAATCCCCGTTGTTTGTCTCCAAATACAAGCATATCAACTGACAACAAGGCACTGACAGCCAGAAAAAACCAACAGCATCAGGGAAAGGGTGATAACCGTGAAGGGCTGTGGACAGAATGTACCAACACAGATCAACAAAAGGCCGGCTGTTGTCACTGCGGGCCTGGAACATCAGCCATTCCTGTGAGCCCACTACGACGCAATTGATGTAATGTCACGTGGGCTTTCTTCARAAAAAAAAAAAAAGTATGTAATCTTACATACTGAGTCCCACAAGGCCTCTGGGGTCACACCACAACATCATAAATCTTTTTTAATTGTTTCTGTATTCATTAGAACCCGACCAACATTGATGTTTTGGGGGGGGGGGGCCTGTGCTGATACTGTTATTAGAAGGTAATACATTTCCAATACCTATATATTGGCTGATATATGTATTTAAGAAAAATTTGGCAAGGAGTCCTAAAATATCACTTTCAAAGCATTTTGAGAAATAAATGTAATTGAAGTTTGATTTTTTCAAACATAAACAAAAAGAAAACACAAGCACAACCAAATACATACAACTTGAATTTAGAAAATGGTCTACTTTTTATTATTGAATATAAATATCTCTTCTTAATCGCTTATTCTGAAAAGATAAAAGTGAACACAGATATGCATGTGAAGGCTCTTATCAGCTGATTTAATCAACAAAACAATATATCAATCAGATTTCCGGATGCATAATGTAAACAGAGTGTATTAGCAATGTTATTAACAATGTAACTTGATTACTTCCTACATTTAGATGCCTTTTAACATTTGTGCAATATTAATAAAGACATGACACAGATTATTGCACAAACAGTGTCTTGCAATAGCAGATGTGACACAAAATACAGATATAGATAGAAGATAGAATAGAAAAAAGGGTTTATGACATCAAAGTTGACATAGGTTGAGTTTGAAGTCATCAAATGAGATAAATCGTGGTGGTGCAATGCGACTATTTGCAAAAAAAAAAAGTCTGATGTTGCACAGTAGGATTTACGAATGTTGTCAGAGGGTAGAGTCAAGTTTTTATTTTTAAAAAGTGTGGACATTCGAGGAAAGCCGATGTCAAGACTGTCAAATAGCGACGATGCATTAAAAATTACACGTCTTCCCGTCAAAAATACTTTTTTATTTAATGGCCAAAAATGTTTCAACTTGGCAGCCGGCAAAGACAAACATCTATACAATAAAGACCCTGTGGATTACTGGCTAACGCTAACAGCGCTGCTGCCAACGTGGGGCACTCAGTGATTTGTGTCTGGGATGGCTGAGCTTTTGTCTGGCAGGAGGGCTTACGTAACAGAAGCTGCTGACAACACGTGGGTGCTGAGCTGAGGGCTGGGAGAATGGCTTGGATCACCGAGAGACGGGGAGGTCAGCGCAGCCCACTGTGTCAGCCCCTGCACAACCGAGAGGGTCAACTCACTGCCGGGATCAGGGACACCGATTGTTTTGGTTGCCTTCGGATTATTTATGGAGTAAATATTTTTATACTCTTCTTATGGAATGTGTGCAACCACATAGCTGAGTGTGGCCACTGGGTTTTCACCGTTGACCTATGAGCAGCTGAACTGGAGGAGCTTCAGAGGCCTGATCATCCTGACAGCAGTGGGAGTATGGGGAGTTATTTATCCAGTTCTTAGCTTGAGGGGTTCAAGAAGCCTGAATCACTGAAGCTGAGCACAGAATAAATGACTCTGTTAAACTGGCAATTTCCTTTTTGGATGCAGGAAATTACATGACGACACTGATCAGTGAGTTAAGGGGGAAATGGTGAAACAGCTACACAAGCAAGACATTTCTTAGATATGATCTTCCAAAAAAATCTGATTCACACATGAAATGTCACTCAAGGCTGTCAAGGCCGTTACGCCCCGTCCACACTAATATGGATATTTTACAAAACAAACATTTTTCTCTGTGTTTGTCAATTTAAGTCACTTCCAAAGTACACATCTTCAAAAACTGCAGTTTCTGTGTACCAGTGTAAACATAACTTACTTCACACGTCAGCGAGTTAAAAAAATTATCTGCATTAGTTTAGACGAGACGATTTATACAGAACAATCTATTTTTCTAGGTCTACACGTATCTAAATCCAAAGAGCATCTTAAAATAATAAAAACCGAACATTCTGTAATAGGCCTTGAGTCAACTCTGTGGAAAGGTGCCTGTGCTCTGAATGCTTCATCATGCTTCACTGCATAGGTTACTTATGCAAGGTCACTCAATATGGCACGACCTGAATTATGAAAACACCATGAAGTATATATTGTATGAGCAGCGTCCGTGGAAACTGACCTTTTAATAACAAACTGAAAGATTGGTCCGTAATCTAAATATTTTAATGATTCGTCATTATAGATTGTAAGGAAATTAACATGCATTGTTGCAAGAGTGAGTTACAGAAGCCATCTGGATTTTGTGTTTGTCCACAGGGAACATTATGATGTAAACTATTTAGATTTAGTTTAACACAGACGAACGGTTTGGA